GTCACTAGTCGAACGCCGATCGTTGCTGTCCTTTTTAGGGACCATGTGCAATGGAAATGCTCATGGGCTGTTTGACGGTCGTATGATTCCTTAGTATATCATGTGATCGAACTCATTTTCGATAATGTAAAAAACTAAAATAAGGCAATGATGTATAAGATCCCAAAAACGAACAGACTGACAGTTTGCAATTTGGTGTACCAAATCACGTTGAGATCACGAATGAAATGCCACAGGTATTCAGAGTTTGACAACGCTTTAACCAGTAACACCTTCTAATATGAAGCGTACCCACCAAGTGAAATCAAAAGACAGAAGCGAGGAGGTTCGAAGATATATTTGATAGGCTATCAATATATCGAGGATCGTCTGATCTAATTTGGCTAACGATTGCAGTAGGTGTTGAGCACTGCGTTCCAACTTGTGATCTGTTGCAAATGCATGACCAAACGCCTTCAGCTAGATGAGTCCATTAAAACTAATGTGGTCAGCATCCAATGTCGAAAACTTACAGAGCTATTTATTTTGAGGATTTATTTACCGCTACACCCTCAACAACTACGTTACATACTCAGAAGACGTGTGAGTGTAGATTCAAACCAACGTTACGAGTCAATAGTTCGGAGGAAAATACATTTAAGACCACCTACAAAACAGCTCACAACACAAGTCAACATAACAGAGATAGTGTATAAATCATAAAACACGAATAGAATGACACTAGAACCCTAGTGTTTAATTATGTACGTCCATTCAACATAGCCATCAGTAAATATAACTGTTTAACATCTGTAGTCTTTGTTCTTAGGACATGATCACTGTCGCGACTTTCTTATGATCATAGTTATTTAAATTAATTTAATTTGTTTATATAATTCACTGACTTACAAAGCGTCAAGGTTCTTTGGACCAGGTGGGCTTTATGGACTGGGCCGTTTTGGTGAGTTTTATATTTTACATTCTTGTGGTTATTTAGTTTCTATCTTCAAATTTAAATGGATGGCAATTTTTCATAGTGTTTCCGCGTTCTTTCACTTAATGGTTCTGTTACATTGTTTAAATGTGTTCTATTATTAATTTCCATATCATTCTCAGAAATACGTGCTCAATTCTCTCAAAAATTGAATTAGTTGACTTCTAAAAGATCTGTTTGCAGCATATTTACATTCTTGTCAAATAAGTCGCATTGTGACTCGCAACACTTAGTTGTCGGCTAACTGATCATTTTGTTCGGGTTTATTTCAGAACTTTTACCTATCTTTTCAATTCGTTCCTCCTAAATTGGGCTATTCAACACATCGGCTTTCATGAAGGGGTGTAACCAAGTTAAGATTGGCCTTGGTTTCTCGTACTTCTACCTCACTTCATATGTTTACCGACGTCCAGAAAATTGCTTATTATTTGTTTATCTATACACAAACTTTGGTACGAGGGGGCCGATGAATACCATTGGTTTAAAATCAGGGTCTTTCAATTCCCTTGAGAAAATCATCCGTTCTCAATAACCTGGTTCAGTAGCCAAGTACTTGATTTTCGTAAGCAACACAGCCACAAGAATGCAAGGAACAAGACTTCACTGGCAGTGAATATACACACATAGCCAGAACTTCGAGAGAGATAGCGGACTCTCTCCTACCTTGGCCATACTATTGCATCTGGTGGCTAGTAAAGTCATGCATTTACAAACATATTTACTGCCACTTTCACCACAAATCTTCATAAAAATAACCGACCACATTCTATTTACAAGACCAAAACTACAAAGCTATGACATTCAATAAGATTTTAGCTTCATGCACTCACCACTCTAAGCAACAGTGCAAGCATGTTCGGCATGCGATTCTTTCCCTTGAAATGCAAAATGTTGCTTCAGGATTGGGTCGCATCGACACCCGAACTATTGATAAGGAGTGAAGTAGTTGAGCGTGTCGACCGCTTCACTTATCTAAGGAGTCTCATAAACCCTTGTGTCCTGGTGTGTGACGAAATCTCAGCATGGATACATTAGACTCGGCTAGCTTTTGCCGAATTGTGCCATTAATGGCGTAGGCGAGATATCCGTCTATCAAACAAAGGACATGTTTACTGCGCAGCAGTTCGTTTCGTCCTACTTTATGGCAGTGAAACATGGCCGGTAAGAGTAGAGGATATTCGTAGAGTACTAGTATTCGATCATAGGTATCTTCAAAACAGGGCTCGTATATCCTGGGACCATCGAGTAAGTAAGGATGACAAATCAATTGAAGTAGTGAAACTTAATCAGTTGAGATGGCTGGGACACGTGTTACGTATGCCCAACCACCGACTGCCCCAACCTGCGATGTTTTATGGTGTAGGAGTAGGTTGGAAGAGAGCTATAGGTGGCCAGACCAAAACATGGTACAAATCCATGAAGTCACTAACAAGTGGACTGAGCCATGTTGGTAGGTGTAGACTACCTGGTTGGCGACCGCGAGATGATTGCAACCTGTGATTAGAGACCCTGAATGACATGTCTCAAAATCGTTTGCAATGGCGCAGGTGCATCCACTCTTTGTGTTCTAGTTTTTAATTTTCTAAGTTCTTCATGTCCCTTCTTTTTTTCCTCTTTCCAAATTTATTTCACTGGATTATACCTCTTGAGTAACATCTTCGAACCCTAATATTTCTGATTACTGCTTATACTTTTACTACCTCTACCACTATGGGATTTGAATCGATAATTGTATCTCTGTGCTAATGTGGTATGGCAACTCGAACTGACGTACGAACGTACGAAGTTCTACGTTGTTACTAACTGACTGACTGAACTTCATGCATATCAAGCTCACCGTGGAATCATCTCATTCATGTGGGTATCATTTAATCTTTCTAATCCACGATTGTTGTATCGTTCCTTCGCCATACTGCTTTAATGCAGAAGCGTATGCTTGATAAACATAAAGTACGTAAATAATGTATTACTATATCTCTTGGGAGGGTTTTCAAGTTATCACTGCAAACAAAGTACCTGCATTAATGTTTCATTATATTATTCGTTTTGTAGCAATTCTTTAAAGAATAATACCACCCCAGTACTTGTTACTGAATATTTTCAACAAACATTAGCATTCACAACTAAAAAACGAGTCTATGCTAATTAACGAAAGTTTCTAATCTTATGGTATCAATTGGGTTTGTTTCAGCTAGTTGTTTGTTTATCCTTTATTAGCTGTTTGATCACCTGGTATTGTTCAGTATAACAATATCTGCTATTTCAAAAAACATCTCAACAAACTGTTTGTTAAAACTTCTGTTACTGAAGATGTGTACAAAAGCTTCATCATTCTGTTGACAGGACACAGTCCGCTACACATTCCACAATAGTCGTGTTGGTACTCTGTTTAGGGTCTTACTGATATCGTCGAAGATGATCACATAATGACTCAAATTCCATCTATTTTCCAAGAAATTACTTTCGCATGGAACAGTTGCTTCATAAAGTTGTCGAGTCTTCTGATTTCAAGACTATTTCCTTTGAAAGTTGAAGTGTCCTTTAATGTACTGATCCGTCAATCTTTTACTTCGTTTAATGGAAAGTAGTGCTTTATGTGTAGTTTGCTCTAAAAACGTGAAAGCGCTTTTTCATTTTGCTGACCCGAACGAACCCGTTAGGTGTAAAAGCGTAAAAAATAATAAAAATTCAGTTTTTATCAAATAATTATTTTCTAAAGCTCTAAGTGATTTTAGTTAACATCACTATATCATCCTGTAAGTCACTATTTTCACGTTCCGATAGATTGACACCCAGTTTGGAGTTCAACTTAGTTTTGTTCTATTTCAGTAACTGTTAAATGTAGTGTCAATAACAGGTTGTTCGGAAAATGCGAACAAAAAATTTCTCTCAAGTACCTTTCCTTAGTGTAACAGCCAGATAGTATCACTAGCCTCCACACCTGAACTGTCGCTAAAAACCACGTACACGAATATGTACTTGGTAAAAGAGTTTCTGCTATGTTTGAGGAATTTCGCTAAAAGAAGTATTTTAAAACGAACGGAAATTCTTGATAATACGGAAGTCGAATATATATGGGATAATAGGGCTTAAGGAAGTTAAAGAAACATGAGAAGCAAACATACCACTCTTTATTTTCAAACCACTCTATTCAGGCTTTCTTTACACTGATTCGTAACATCTCAAGAATCTCAGACAAACGTCTTACACTTCCATATGGAATCAAGGGCTTTATAAATTGATCGCTTCGGGGTACCTAGCCTGTCGTATGCCCTGATGGTGTTCTCGTAACGTTCGAGTTGCCTGATCTGCCAAGGGCGATGGGACAGTGCATGATGCTATTGTTGTGTGCTAGGTTCAAAGAGAATTGTATGCTATATGCATGCAAATCCGCCCCGTTATTATTATTATTATTGTTTCTATTCCTGCTTCGGTTTGGGTACCCGGGCAGTATCACAGCCCTCACACTTATCAAATGAGATCTGGTGCCTCCTTGTACCAATATCTATGTGTTGAAATAAATAATAAAAAATATAATAAATTTATTCAGTGCCATCCTTAGTTTTTCCAGCCTTTTAATTTCCTAGTTACCATCATAGATTTCAGCATTTGTAAAATATAATTCCATCGGTGTGCAAAGTATGAAAGTAGATCCAACACATCTTTCGTCCAAGTTGTAATGGTTTTATTTATAAACGACTCTGTCGCTTGACATGAATACGTACTGTACTGGAATACTAATACTTAGTGTATATTTTTTATTATAGTGCCTTATAAGTTGGAAGTGTCATTTAAAACTTAACACTTACGATATCTCAGCAATTAAATGACCATTGGACATAAAGTTAAGCTTCATGCGAGTACGTAATTATTTTGATTGGCTAAACAGCCTACTCAAAAGTTAAGGTTTTTAACAAATTTCTTCGCCTATATTTTTCTTTTTCTTTTAGCATTTATCATTATGAACCACTAGTGTCCCCTGTATTCCTGCTCTTATTACTGTTACTCTTCATAAAGTGCCTCTGCAATGATTAGCTTTGAAGTTATGAGAACTTCCGGAAGCATTCTACTAATAGTGACATTGTGCACATCAGCATATGCTCTTGATTGCACCACCTTCAAACAAGAATGGATGAAATTACGGTATACTATACTAACAGGAGTTCATAGTTCAACTATCATTGGTAGGATACAATCATTTTTAGTTTTGATTTTTTAAGGTCCTACATCAAACATTTGTCCTGTAACCGGTACTTCCTGTTGTGATGTAAGTATGGAACAAGAAATGTACTCAGTGGGTCAGCGTCAACTTATAAAGCAAATCAACTCATGGTTACAAGTTGCCTGGAAAATGAGCAATGACAGTGCCGTGCTTGAATGTAAGTCTTATGCCATTCTGGTCAATGAAGTGTTGGAACACTGAATAGCTAGTAATAATAGTTAAATAAAGTTACTTTCGTATTCCAAAATATACATATCCTACCGAATCTGCTGACAACAATGAGGAAACGGATGTATGTTGAACCGTTTCCTCCAAATGTTTCACTTTTCGTTCTTGTCATCTAGTCTCAGAGTAGATCACGACTTCGCGTTCTTCAGACAGTTTCCTTAATAAATAACTTCTAGCCTCCATCTATTCAACAAGTTTATGCAGTTGTCTTTTGGTACCTATCAATACTACCTTTTCCATTTCCTTTGCTTTCCCATCCTACCATTACTACTGGTCATTTCTCTAGCTTTCTGCTAATCCACGATCGATATTCCTTGCTACTCATCATATTCACACCCTTCTAATATGAGTGTCATGGTATCTGAAATCTACTGGTCTTTCCTAAACTTTCGGTTTTCGTTGCTTACATAGCTTAATGCTATTTTTACACCAGACTATCTCAGGATGAACATCACTTTTGTAGTAGATCATGTGCCTTGTAAGTTTTCCTTTAAAAACAACCCTTCACATTTTCTTCTAGCCAAGCTGGAATTTTCATCCTTCCAGTAAGGCTAAGACAAATGTGTGCTCACACTAGAGAGTGGTCTGAGTTCAGATATATACTACAGAAGTAACAGCCTTTTGTGCAAACTTTTCAAATAGGAACGATAGTAATGTAGTTTGTCTGTCTTTTCTTGTAAGTATATTGCATTCACCAGATTAGAAAATGTTTCTTTCCACGTTTGGTTGGTGTTTGTCAAAAACAAATAGGTATCTAAACATAAATTCAGTAGACGACCACGATTATCTTTACTCTATCGTAAAATACCACAAGTTGCCGCCTAACATTTCGTAAACTCGAGTCGTTAGCAACGATTACACATGAAATCAAGTCAGAGCAGAAGGGTAGATAATAAAACCAAAATTATCAAAAACCGGGAAAGTGGTTTGATTGTCGATATGATTAGCTTCGGTACTGCTAAATTTGTACGGATAGTTGACACATCTTGATTACCCTTTTCGTAAAGTAGTTGTTCTTGCAGGGTCTGAAAAAACATTGGCTAGTAGTGGCGGTCAAGGTGCATCAGTTTTGAGGCCGTTCATTCATATAATCTTTGAGTAGTTTTTTCTATCTTGGCTATGTATTTTTTAAACTCCACCGCCAGCAATTCATAAGGAATGGTTGTATTATCTTTGTAACCAACCTCTAACCCCTACTTCTGTGTATGGGAAAGTAGAATGGAGATACTGGCTATCTGTAGGAAGCGCCCTCCTTTGATCACACTAGTACAAATGACAGTACAACCCCGCTGTCTGATTTAAAATGTTTGACTTTTGGGATTACACCAGGTTTTCTCATCATAGTAGAACTTCAGAACAAGTAGTCCAAGGAATACAACTTTACTGAACTATCATGGTATACAAGCCTGATCACTATCGAGGCAATAATTGCGGTAATGATGGACTCAGATTCTATTAAGAGTAAAGATTTCGTACATTTTATTCTCATATAACTTAGCTGTTCGTGGTGCTAAGAAAATGGCCTGCAGTAGTTCTAAATATTTTACCTCTGTTTATTATCTTTTAATTCTACTCAGTACAGTTAATCGGTCCTCATTTATTTATTTTTCTACTCAGCAATTTTTCAAGCTGATTTACAACAAGCTAAAGGACGTTTACATCAATTTTTCAGTCGGATTTATGGATACAATTATAAATTGCATAGAAATTTCTTCTTCGGGTTTTTCACCGATTTAGAACAATATATGGCAGGTCAGCGGGGTCAGCTCGGTGTGTTAATAAAAAATTTCTTCAGTCAACTTCGTGACAGCATAGTTAGTTTGATTGAAAAATCTGGACAGGTTAATTCTAATCCTCCCTTCGGCTCGGTTTCGCCTAACACTGGCTCGTTTGGTAACAGTCTTCCTGGGGTTGGTGGTACTGATGAAGCTAGTGAATCTAGGCGACTTCGTTGTTTATCTGAAAAGATTGCGCAGTTACATCCGTTTGATGATGTAGATGTCCGACTTCACGCTCGTATGTTGGAAGCTTATCCACCTGCTCGTATGTTGGTCAATGTTTTATCCGTTACCAGCAAATTATTACACTATCTGGTTGACCAGGTATTTGTTTATTTCCTTATTTCTTTGATGCAACGTAAACATTTGCTTACTTTTTTGTTCGATGGTAGTTCATGGATTTCATCTAAGACACTATTTTGGAAATAAGAAAATCTTTGGTAAGAACGTTTACTTGGAAGACTTCATACTTCAAATACTACATTACACACATGTATGTATAGTTTCTTCACTGGTCCTAACTAGGATAAGTCTAAGGAAAACGAAACATTTCTTATTATCTTGCTTTTTGTCAATCATTACAATCACATGGTACAATAATGGTTGTAAAGTTAACGTGAAAAACAATTTTCACTCTCAATATAATACAAATTTCTGAAGTGTCTATTTGAAATTTTATTTTATTATTATTAAAAGTTTATTAGTGTTTATCCTAGTTTGAAAACCTAATAGTTTTACAGTAAATAATAATAAAATTCTTATTCTACAACTAATGGTGTCAGTTGTTAAGATACTGATGAATTTTGTTAATTATGTTAAGAAACACAGGTTATTAACTGTATAAAGGTAATCTGATCTACGAATTTTCATGTTTACATACTACATTGCAAAGATGACTAGATTCAATAAAAATATTTTTTCAACTGAATAAGAAAAAAACGAATATCATTGTAAACTGCTAATTCACAAATTGAATTACAATCTGGTCATTAAATCACTCTTATTCAGTTAAATGCTAATTGTTAACAAAATGTTAATGTAGTATACGCTACTTGTTGCTTTTCCCGAAAAAACCATGATGCTGTAAAATGTTCAAAATTGTACCCTTAAATTATTTCTGTTATATGTAACATTCAGGCATATACTTTCTAATGTGTTTTAGAGTGTGTAAATAAATAATTATTTTGTGAATAATATTATCAATGTTTAGCTGATCTGTTCACCTCAAAAACTAATATATATATATATATATATATATATATATATATATATATATATATATATACTAGATGTTTCGTTAAAACTAAATCTATCAGGTAATTTGGTGCAATAAGAAATAAAGTCGAAACACATATATCGTATTAGTCAGCACATCAACCAGGTACATATACAATCTTCAACAAATAATCCAGAATATTCGAATGTGTTTCATGTTAGTTGACACTCATCAACTAGGCATATCGGTGATCTTGAGGAAACTTATGCTCACTTTGTGACTTAGTAGTCATCCAGTGAAAATCCCTCATTCCTGCTGGAAGTCCATCACTTCCCGAGTATCTAAGTTATGATGTCTCCAACTACAACTGTAATGTTGACTCTGTTGTCACTGGAAGCACAATTTCCCCCAAGAATGTACATATGCCTTGTCAACGAGTTAAAAAATAACATAAAACCTAGGTTTAAAACTTCCTACTGATCTACTTCAACCACATTATAACAGAATAATCCACAATATTATGCTAAATGCTTGTCAAAGATTTGTAAGTCCTTAAGTGACTAACTACATAGTCAGTCGCAATTAACGTAGAATCTGTTATAGATGTTCATCAGCTCTAGTTGTCGTACCATGACACAGCAAGATAAAATTAATAAGACGAATAACAAATGAATCTAAATACTAGTAGTGTGGTGTATGCTACTGACGTCGACAGATATAAGTAGTATGTATAGTCAATCAGAAGTGAAATGCCTGGAGACAAAAGGTTAAGAAGATCAAAGAAAGAGGATAAGAACAAAGAACGATTGGTATGAAAACGAAAGAACAATTAAGTGTGAGACGATTGATTGACATTTTGCAAATGAAGTATTTACTATATGGTTCTCAGATTTTACTAAGATGTTATGTAATTTTGTATTCAAATACATTCGATTGTTCCCACTTATGTTCTCGTTCACTACATTTGGTGTCGCTGCCAGCCAGGAGGGGAGGAAGGTTGCAGATCTGCGGACACCATTGCGGACCTGGGGCTGAGATACTAGTTGGAGAGATCTGATGCGAGGAAGCGACGTCGAAAGGAGTTGGCCGTAGCGGATACTATCGACGGAGAGGAACGGTGGGACATGCAGCTGCTGGGCGGACATCGAATATAGATGGCTCGTTTGGTCTCCGAAGCTCAGGTGTTGAACGTCCTGTGTGCTGGGTGTACGTCGGATGTCGATGGCTCGGCAGGTCGACGGATTTATGCAAGTCAACGCGCCGCAGACTCAACATTTCGACAGAGAGTATGGCATAGACTGCAGAAAACAAGTGGTACGGCGAACAGAACGACCACTTTAAAGGAGGGACGAGTGTGGTGTATGCCGCTGATTTAGTAAACGAGAACACAAGTCGAGACATTCGAATGTATTTGACCGCAAAACTACAGAACATCTTAGTAAAATCTGAGAACCATACAGTAAATACTTAATTTGCAAAATATCAATCAATAAAATCAATAATAAAGTTCTAAATCTCGATGACTTTTATGTCCTTGGAATAACCAATAATTTGTCTCCGATTGAAGAGAATGTACTAAGAACGTTTTTATATGATAGTGTGTATATCTAAGTCATATTTAATTTATCCAATCTTCTATACCACTCAGCTGTTCAAAGCCAACTTTCGCTCGAATTTATCATTCAATTCTAGATAGTTGTATACGTTTGCTACCGAGTAACCCTTTAATGAATTCTCAGTTTACAATTCCTATCATCAAACCAACTTGGATAATAAGCGTTATTAAATAAATAAAAGAACTATCAAGCAAAACCCCAATCAGACCATCAATGCTAACTTATCATCCCTTTAATACAAATCAAAGATAAATAATCTTTAAAATCGTATATTTTGATGCAATTTTCACGGAGTTATTGCGTTTGACCGGCACAAAAATACTTGAATAGTTACAGATGAAGTTCGCAATTGTTTTGTAAATAATTCCAAGAAAAAAACTCCAGTGTTAAGTAATTTTACTGATAAGACAAAAAAATTTTTAAACTACATCATATTTTCTTGGTTTAATGATTAGTGAACAATAATAAATACACATTAAAGAGGAAAAATGTATTTGTAAAATCTCAGCGAATGAATTTTAAGTAAATCCAACGTTTCGCCTGGCAATCTGGTCCAAGCTTTTTAAAGGAAAATATAATCAAACAACAAAATTATCTGATATAAATAGGTACAAGGTTCTCTGGTTTACTGTATACTGAATAAAACATCCAATCGACGTGAACCCTGTTTGAAGTAGGTCTACTTCATGTTGATTGGATGTTTTATTCAGTATACAGTAAACCAGAGAACCTTGTACCTATTTATATCAGATAATTTTGTTGTTTGATTATATTTTCCTTTAAAAAGCTTGGACCAGACTGCCAGGCGAAACGTTGGATTTACTTAAAATTCATTCGCTGAGATTTTACAAATACATTTTTCCTCTTTAATGTCTCACATTAACTCGGCACCCAAATATTGTGAAACTATTCGTTCAAATTTGGACGAAAGTTCTTAATTAATTAAATAATAAATACAGGCTCATTTTCTTCCTTCATTGTGTCTCTTCGTCAGGTTGTAGCTCAATCTCAATGTATTTTGGGCATTACACGTTATCGATTTTGTGCTATATGCGAGGCTCAATCACTTAATAATGTCTGCCCTGAGAGTTGTTCACAATTACTAGCCGGATGTTTACATGGTGATGGTCCAGATGAAGCACAATTGGCGTATATTTGGCCTCAATTGATTGGTATGTTGTTTTGCACTTTATCTTTCACTTAGAATGTTTTTTCAACTGATATCACCTGTTTTCCTACTTTTGTTTATAGCTAATCACTGTAAATCATCATTGTTTGATAACCTGTGTTTTTAGTTCTCTTTTATTTGAACATCTTTATTATTCTAACATTGTGGTTTAAATATTCTCTTAACATATCGATCACGTCAAAAAGTACACACTAAGTTTAACCTATCCATGTAGATTATATTTAATTTTTAGTTGATAATTTACGTGTCTTTAAAGTTGAACTTTCAAACAGAGCAAAACTGAAACACTTAAAATGTAGACAATGAGAAGACTAATCTATATTGTATTAAACCACAATGTTATTAATTTAAAAGAAAAATATATTGATTAGTCAATTAGTTTGATCCAGATCAAATGTTGGTTATTACTGTTTAGCTGATTGGTTGTTTATTGAATAACGTGAATAAAAATCATCTGTTATCCACGATCACATTATGACTTTTGTATCAATGAAACCTGGTTTTTTCCGTCTTAATACTGTTTTCAATGTCAATGGTTGTTAAAATTTAGAATAAGTTACAAATAATACATATAGTATATGATGTTCATTTCTCAATTACAGTATACTGTATGATTTTTTATAAGTCTGTATCATGCAGATTGATTTAGCTTTATTAAAATTATTATTATTCTTTCAAATTAATTTCACAGTATTTTCTTTATTCTCCTTGTCTCCTTTTACCCTCTATTTCTAGTCTAGTTGACCTTTTAGTTTTATATATAAATGTTCTTAACAAGTATGGTAATCTTCGTCTTCTTATTACAATATCGAAATATATCAAAGAGACTAATTGCTTCAAATTATTCTTTTAATGAAAAAGTAAAATTGTCGATTTACATGACATTACAGTTTAACAAATAAGCATTGAATAGACATTACTTACTTACTTACTTACGCCTGTTACTCCCAATGCAGCATAGGCCACCGACCAGCATTCTCCAACCCACTCTGTCCTGGGCCTTCTTTTCTAGTTCCATCCATTTCTTGTTCATTTTTCTCATGTCTATCTCCATTTCCCGGCGTATTGTGTTCTTTGGTCTTCCTCTCCTCCTTCGACCTTGAGGATTCCATGTGAGGGCTTGTCTTGTGACGCAGTTCGGTGCTTTCCTCAATGTGTGTCCTATCCACTTCCAGCGCTTCTTCCTGATTTCTTCCTCCACTGGGATCTGATTTGTTCTCTCCCACAGTAGGTTGTTGCTAATAGTGTCCGGCCAGCGGATCTGAAGTATTTTGCGTAGACAACTGTTAATAAACACCTGTATCTTCTGGATGATGGATTTCGTAGTTTTCCAGGTTTCCGCCCCATACTGTAGAACTATTGAATAGACATAGTGTAACAATATAAATATTTGTCGAATACCAACAATAACTGCGAATAACTGTGTTGGTAATGAAGAATTAGCACATAAATTTGTTATTAAAGTTGATTTGCTTCCAATTAAATTGCCTGGATTGGTAATACTTGGGATTTAAAATAACTGTTTTTTTATTTTAGATTGCTGTCCTGTAGTTTTATTAGTATGTGTTACCTCAATTCGTCTAGTTTCACTAGGCAGTTTTCAACCAGTGGGTAGCTGGGTATTATTATTAGCCCTTACACAAAAAATGTACCTTGAAACCGAGCACGAGAATCTGTACATAGGAATTGGAATTCATTTAAATTTTCGTCTCCATCTAGCATTTTCTGTGTTTGTTCTTTACTAAACAGATAACTCATTTTTTCAGGTACATGTTTGCGTACTCATTTCTTTGGTGGTTAGTAATATCTACCTGGTTTTTTCGGACTGAGCTAGGTGTAGTGAGGTAAAAGGTTTCTAGTATGTGATAGTGTTTGCAACAACATGGAAAGAAAAAATTAGTATAACTTCTAAACTAATTATGGATCATCGAATAGCTCCTTTTTTCCTCCTTATCGTTGTGCTGTTCACCTTCAATCTTAAAACTAAGGTTTTTTTCAACAATAATTATCTTATATTACATTTTATTCCTATCAAACTGCTTAACACTTCTCTAAAAATATCACAGTAAATTGTCCTTACTAATGCAAATGTTTAGTTTACCTGTGAATTGAAAAATCATATAGTAAATACATTTAAAATCACAATACGATTGCATGCAGAATAATTAGGAAAAAAAAAATTCAATGTAGTCATCGTTCATTTATAGGTCATTTTGATGAGTATAGACAATTGAGTTACTGTCAAGTCTTGTTGACTCGTAAAATTACGTATAATATACACTTCTGAGCACATCAATTTATGCAGCATAATCGTTTAGAGATGATAACTGTCTCTGATAAGAAACAAAAACTGTCTATCTCGAATATTGTAGGATTAATTTGTTATTAAAATCTTTTGTTATTCTTGATTACATTTAGTGACAGCTAACAAAAAGCAATCCAAGATGAGTGTTTTTTCTGTTCGAATGATACTAACTTGAATACGGGATGTGTGTGATTAAATGTCTGATATTCATTCGTACCTTTTTCTACTGAAATTCGTTTTGTGTGATTGTTGGAACATGTATGGCTTTTTTAGTGTACTGGCTCAGTAGTCAATGTGTTCGACTAGTGACTGTTAGGTCCCAGGTTCTTACTTCAGTTCACGAAGCTTGGTAGCATCACTAGCTCTCGTGCAACTTCTACCGCACCTCATAAATTTCTACTTGGTAAATGAGTTATATTTAATTAAGTAGTCGTTTTAACAAATCTGATTCGCAACATTGCATAGATATTTGTATCTAGATGCCTAATCTCTCACTTTCTATACAGCCTTATATTTAGTACTGACAATGCATACTGTTATTATCATTAATATTTATGAAAAAGTTTTCCTATACCCGTCTTTTTCTCACAGTAATTCATTTGTTCTCTGTTGCTCTCATGTAGATACAGTCATCATGGCAACTAATCGGTTGGAAAGATCATTCAACTTTCCTGCAGTAAATAGTAATCTTCAAATGGAAATATCTGAAGCAATAACTAGTTTACAAACACGTTATAGTGAAACAAAATCTAAGGTAAGTTTTTTTTCAAAATTCTTCCACCTCTTGTATTTTGTTTTATTACTATGCTGCTATTATTTCGATTCCTTCACTATTCATCATGTTAACTTTGTCGCTCCTTACTAATGTGACATGTTCACTTGGACTGATATACATTTTCCCCGGCTCTACGTTCGTTATGCGCAACTGATGTTCATTTAATGCACTGTGAAATTATTGAAGGGATTTCCAGTCAGATTTAGAGTATTAGTTGGACACGTTAAGTCACGTTCTGAAGTTTGGTGGATTTGATATTAAAAAAAACACCCCATCTAACTGGGCGTTAAAGTTACATACTACCATTAATACATCTAAACTCCTAGATTTTCGAATTTAGCCAGAAAACTTTCGGGACCATCTATCTTTTATTTCATACGAGCTATGATCGTTTGGAGCGTGGGTTAATGGTTTTTATAGTCCCATTTAGTGGAGTAATGTATAATCAACCGTCAACTTTAATTCAACCTAAAACCCCCTGTTCTGCTTTAAAATTTAATGAGATATCTTCGCCTTTGAGATTACAATAAATTACTGTTGGTTCTCCAGATAATTAAATGATGAACCATACTATTTCCTCACACTGGTTTTATAAATTTAAATCAATGACAACATTTAAGTCCTGTATGATACTTTCGGAAACACTAAATAAATCTATGTCACTCAACCGTGGACTCTTGCCTGGTGAAGTCTGTTGTCCAATATAAAAAGGATGGAATATTGAAATGTTTAAAGCCGCGTTCTAGATAATCCGAGGCGACACTTTTAAGCTTAAATCATCAACACTGGTTACATTCGCTAATGAATTTAGTGAGGTATTGTTGATAGAATGTTTGAAAAAATCAGCGTAACGAGAAAGGAGGTTCTCGGTTAACAGGATGGAGCAGTAGATACTTTCTGGTCCCAAGTACCGTTGAGGAACAAGAAGCTACATCAATACTGACGTCCTCATCAACCCAAAAATTGTTTATTGGCATCAGAATGGTAATGTAAAGTAGGTATGTATGTGTGGGTGTTTCTGTTTAAAGAATTTTTACGTTTAGTTATATTAATAGTAAAACTAATTCAAGTATATCTTGTATTCTAACGATTTTTTCATCTTTCAGTTTGAATCCGAATGTCGATTTGGTTCTGCCGGTCGACGAATGCCAACATTGTTCAATCCTATTGGACCCTCTTATAGCAGTCAAGAAAATCGTGCAAATCACTCAGACATCTCTAGATGGTCAATGTTATCTAATTTGAATAGACGCTTAAATCGAATAGCTCGTTCATCTTATTCACAATCATCACCTGTTTCTCAAGAATTCCTTGACTGGCAAACACGACAACGACCATCCCAAGTCATTCCTAGTAACAATCGTCCAAAAAAAATAGATTATAACCAACAAAGGATTAGCAAAACATCTGATGACTGGGATGCCTCAGACAAAGAGAATCCTATGAATGCTCCAAATGATCTCGTTCGTCAAGTCAATGAAATCAAACAAGCTGTAAGATTGTCCTTTTATACTTTTTCTCAAATTTCAAGTTGTATTATCATTTTCATATATTTTATTTATTTTATCCTAATAAAGGATACACTTCATATGTTTGTTACCAGCATTCGATCACTTGTCATCGGATAATGACCGTGTTTTTCTTCCTGCTTTTCGCATTAAGATCACAAACATCAGTCGCCTCTATTTCTGCATGCTGGTAGTTTACTAGTTAAAACAGGGGTTCTAAACAGTAGGCTACATGTTCAAGTTATATTTCACCTAAATTGGTTTTCGATAGTCGATTAATATCACTAGTCTTCACAAAAACCTTGTGACTCGGAGCCCAATACGTAAGCATTTTTTGAATAAAGGAGTTTTAATATCTGAAGCCCCCAAAAATGCCTTTTTTTAAATACAAAGTTTTATCTTTTTACACGGTGGTTGTTTGAAAAAATTAACTACACCTTCCATTCGGTGCAACATTCAGGACACGAATTATATATGAAAAATTTTATCTAATCGCATGTGAACACCATTATGTTGCTAACAGCATTTCAAACACTGGTTATTCTTTCAGTTCATCGATATTTGTGCGGTTGATTTACTCTCATCCGTAATTTCTAATGATTTGCATCGATTTTTATTCAAAAATGTATTCTAGAGCTTTTATTCTAATAGTTAGTGATTGATAGTTTTTGTTTTGTATTTGAAATACTGGGGGGTGACTGATTCAACATGTTTATTTTTTGACTTGCAAATAAATGATCTGATTAGTCAAGAATAAAAAACATAGCGATATCGTCACCTAAACTTTATAGAAATCGAAGGATGCTAGTATACCTACGCGTTTCTATTATTTTTTACTTTTGTAAAGATGGGAAACTTTGATAAAGACTTCATGAGAGTTTTATTAGAACTGTGTTATTTAATTTTTATTATCTGTTACTGTTCCCATGACTTTAATAAAAAGTATCAAACTAACTTTATACTCCGAGCATTTTTGTCAGCTTTTTCTGTGATGTTCCTCTTTGAAAGGCTTCATCTCGTTCATAACATTTCGTAGAACGGATCTTAAGTGATAATATAAGATCTTGTTTTAATTTCTCCACAAAAAATTTCATGAAACTATAGTTGTTTCTCATCTTCCATGTACATGATTATATCGATTTTGGAAGAGAAGCATAAAATAATTTGGAGATAGTTATTATTTTAAAAACTGATATCTCTAATGTAAAACCAGTAAAAATCATAGGGGCACTAAACAACTAACTGCTTCATCGTAGTATTGTGAATTCCATTCTCAGATTGAGTTTGAATTGGGGTCATCAACCCATCAATTTTAGACCACCATTGAAAACCTGGAAGTGCTGAACATCTGTTTCGTCCTAGTATGGGACTCCTCACTAGTGCCCATCCACGATCCCGCACGCGAAAACGTTCAACCTCTAGACCACTGAGTCGATTGTGTAACCATCTTCCATTGTCTTCGGTGGATAACTACCTCACACCCGACAGTGTTGAACTCCACTTGTCATTAGAACTCCGAGATTCATTCTCAGAGTTAGATGTAAGCGAATAAGTGGGAAAGGTGGAATTATTAAAACTACTGTACGACAAATTATCATTTATATACTGATTCGATATTCATTAAATATTTGGTTAACGGTATTTTTATACTGTCCTAATTTTAAACTTCATTTTAATCATTAACTGTCGATATACGTAACTTTTACCGTTAATTTATAATTGCGCACTTGTTACTCAATTCTGCGTCAAAAACGGCCTAATTGTGCATAGATTGTGAATTCTTACTCGTGACGCATTATCGTATTTTAATTGATGTTTACTATATCATCCTGTGAGTTTTTGAGTCTTTTGGGAAGGTTAGATCTTTAGAACTCACTTGGTAAATACCTTATTTATGTAATTCTATTTTAAAAAATTGAATTTCTGGTTTCCGCTCCAAGAGCGCTCATTTTTACCTTCATGACCTATTTCCCACTTGGGAGGATCTTAAACGCTATTGGTTCGTTGTGTCTTCTAGCACGCTGTTTTCTAACGCTTTCCAATGACATTTTATGCTGTATATATACGCTTGAGTTGTGCTTGTTGTTTTTGTTCGTGCTTCTGGCTGCTGTGGAATATATTTCCCTCTTCCAAACTTGGACTTCTCTTTCTAGTTAGCTGGGGTGGGACGCGTCGGAATAGCTAGCCTATCTATCATTGTATCACAGAGTATTCGTTCCGTTCTCAGATTAGGTGAATTCGTAATCTCTTCAAACATAATAATGTAAGTCAATTTATATTGTTCTCGTGTTCTGACTGCACACTGTCTCAATACCATGATTTATGTGGATCAATAGGCGTGAGGATATCCGGTCATTGCTGGTGGTCATTGGTGTTATTGAAAAAGCGATTGTCATCAGTGTACAATTAATTCATCAATGATGAACTCAGTAATTTAATGAATTTATTAAACGGTTATGTAGAAGTCGAATTCAAACACCCAGTTATTAACTTAGAATCTAATAATCCAGATTTACCAATATCACTTAATTTCGACATCAATATCAAATTCATGTAGATCATTAACTAAATACGAGTCAATGTACTACTTGACGTTAATTCATCGTATTTGTATATAAGGGCTAATATTACCAACGTGGCTTCCTAAATTGATGTAGGTGAAGTGAAATTTAAATCTGTGACTCATTGGTTGACAAGTGAGTGCTTTATTCATCAAACTATTATTTCTTCTTCGTCTTATACATTGCGTTTTTTTTCTAATTATATCCACATTCTTCTTAGTGATTTGGTCAACTTAAATGTATCATGAGCTTTTTAATAGAACATTGAATCATCTTAAAGTAATTCATATTAATCAAGCTAGTTTTTGTATGACAATTCCAAGTTTAATTTATTCATCTTCATTAATTTGTCCTATTTAACGCATTATTTAATGAAAATCTATCTACTCTCATAGGTGGTTACTTTAAATTCTATTCACCTGGGGATAAAACGATTTTTTGTTGCCTTTTTTGAATTCACCTAGTTTTTTTCCCCATTTAGTATCAATAATGTCCATAGAGTTTTTATACTGAAATAAATAAAGAATTCAATTACTTTTTTGGAAATAACACAGTCTTAATAGTATTAACATTAATAATAATAATAATAATAATAATAATAATAATAATAATTATTATTATTATTATTATTATTATTATTATTATTATTATTATTAGTTATCCTAATTCTTTGTATTCGTGCTTAAATAAGTATCGTAAATAGAATATAAATAAGGTCAATCTGTTATTTCTTAATTAACCGGCTAGTGTTTGATATTGTTCATGTGATACAATAATTTTACAACTACATAAGAATATTTGCCAAAAAATGTAAATGAATAATTACATGAATGAATTACATACTGTCAGTTCAGGACTAAATTATTTTGTTGAATATTAAAATATTAGAAGAATTTTATTGAAGATTTATTCTAATTTTTCAATAGTAAAATGGTTGACTTTTCTGTTTTTAGTTGATTAGTGGGATGATTAAATTTCGACCACATCTTTCTCTCTCCGATTAGTAGCAATGTTAATTACTGTCGATATTTAAAGAATTCAAGTAGTAACTATATCTTTTAATCAATAGTTTTTTTTGTGTGTGTGTATTCCTCAGTTTATTTAAATTGAAATTTCAACAAATGGTCGATCCTCCTCTTGACCTACACCTAAATTTGAATGACCTTTCTTATAGATTAAGAAAACGGAGGAAGTTCAGAATGAACCAATCACTTCTGATGATAAATAAGTATAATTTATTCGGTGACTCATGTGTGATGGATTTCTTACCAGTTTATAGTTCTCTAAATGTTTCATATCTCAATAAGAAAACATCTAGCCAACATACAACTCACCAAATAAACCAATAAAATTTACAATTAATTAATCATATATATATTTAATCTAGTGAATATGTTTGACAATATAACTCTGAAAATAAGGTCCATTATATATTTGACATTAATTCAACCAACTCATTTCATATTCACTATATTAACTGAATCCATAATTCATTTGACTCAAAATATGCGCATAAGTATTGAGTTCAGTTTATGTATTAAATTATCTACATTCTTGCAAAGAAACCAAACAAAGCAATGTTTAAATGAAACATGTAGTTTGTCAAATAGAAATGTCATTTATTATTTTTAAAGTTGGATAACTATAATAGATTAACATTTATTACACAAAAATCGCTGTATACCTGTCTTATTCTGTATAAATATGCAAAATAGAAGAAGTCGTTCTCAAATATACATAAATATCTATAAAATGTATCTTGTTCATTTAATCTCTATTTCGTCCTTCCCTAATGTACTCTTCAAATAGTGATTACTGGATTTCCCGTGGTGGTCTAGCTTCAAATGACTCATGATTTCAACTATTGGAATTACTGGATTTGACTCAACGCAATCAACTATTGAAATAAACCAGATACAAGATAAAATCTAAAGAGATGCCAAAATAAAATGTTCAAATGTTAAAAAAAGGAATACAAGTGTTTATGTAGTGACTACATGGATTTATCTTCTAGCAGCTTCTGAAATCGTCTATCAACAGTGATTAGTTAAAAAACGACTCACCACTATATTCGGATGACTCTCACACTAATTACATGAACTAACTCATCAGGAGTTTATCGTTCTAATAATCTTTAGGGTTCATAACAGTTTAAACAGTTATTGATGGTTCCTTCAGTACAATTGGTGAATAAATACCCTCTCCTACTTATAATACTAAACAATAAGTTAGAAATCTCAGATAAATATGAAAAGAATGACACGTTAAAGCTATCTACAACCTACTAGGTGTGTATATACACATGTAGAGCTTCATCCAAGGTCTTGAATCTAATGATTATCAGGATATGTAAGTTGTATAACTGTATATGTCAAATGCACGAATGCACACATTTCATTTCGTTTGAGACTTATCAATAGGATG